GTTGGAATCCAATCAATCAGAGCAGCTTCAGCCCGGAGACTCAGGGCAATGCCAACACCAGCTTGGCCTGTGCTCGAAGCTGCATCGTCACCGGATAGGCGCAATGAGAAAACACTGCTTGCGTCACTTGAAGGGGATCGCAGAGTGAGCACAGAGTTCGAGTCTTGCAGGCGGGTCTCCGATAAGCAGCAGATATCGATCGAGAGGGTCTCCAATGTTCGGGCAAGTGCTGCCTGTTGACCGGTCTGCAACAATGTGCGTACATTAAGGCATGCCAATCTGAAGGAGGATCGAGGGTTCCAAATGGAAGCCAGTTTTGCGTTGGACTACAAGGAGTCCGTTTTAAGGAATAAGGTGCCACCGTCATTCCAACCCCCAACCTGAAGGACCAGGAGACTGAGTATGTCTGACCTCTAACTATTGACCAATCTAATATGAGTGAATCTGAAGGTGCAAAAGCACCAGCCAGCATAGCTCATTGGATCACTGAGGCTCACAAACCATCGTACCACGGTAAGGTCCAGCCTCATTGCGATGGGCTGGGCGACACTGTTGCTCGGATATAATTTTACTATGGCTCATGTGCCTACGGCAGATTTCAGCTACGCCGATACGCTGTCTCGACTTATGGCAAACAGCCGAGCATAGAAGACCAGGTGATCGAGTCAGTTGCGCTTGAATCGGACGTGAAACGGCCAGTGTTTAATTCAACCAGAGCTCTCCCGACTACTACTGTGGACATTCAGGAGCACACCAAACTCAACCCTCTTATTCGTTTCTTAAACACCAAGTGGTCAGACCGGATTACTGACACACACCGTAAACAATTCTATTGTCGACGTGACTCATTAACACTGGTTGATGATTGTGTTATGTTCGGTGAGCTCGTGGTTGTTCCGAAGTTTAGGTAAGCAAGGGCATTAAGATAGTTGCACCTACATCACCCCGAAATATCACGGATGAAAGCTTTAGCCAGGAGTTACGTATACTGACCTTGTAATGACAACGTTATTCATGATTGTGTCGCCACATGTAGCAATTGTGCATCAGCAGCTCAACTTACAAGCAAAAGCATCCAACTCTGCATGCCAGCCGCTAAGCCTTGGGAGATAATTCACGTTGATTTCGCTGGTCCAGTGCAAGGCCAGTGTTTTTATTGTGGTTGATGCGTATACTAAGTGGCCGGACGTATACCTGATGAACACAACTATGACAGCGGCCACAATAGGAAAACTACAACAGTTATTTGCACAGTTCGGTTCACCAAACACTTTGGTTTCCCATAACGGTTCGCAATTTATCCCCGACGATTTTGGTGCTTTCTGTCAGCGCAATGGTATCAAGCACTGCCGGTCGCCTCCGGGGAATTCTCAGTCCAACGGGCAAGCAAAAAGATTCGTGGATATCTTCAAACGTTCACTTCTAAAACAGCGGGGGAAGGACCGACAGAGATCATACAGCTGTTATTGTTCACTTGTCGGGCTACGCCTAACCCCGCTGCACCAGACATCAGATCCCCAGCGGAAGCCATGTTCGGGCGTCAGATACGTCTTCCAATTGATGTAATACACCATAAGGTTATGCAACCGCCACTCGCGTCAGACGTGAGCAGAAGTTTGCTACCAAGGGAACCGGTGTAGGCATTGGATACAAGGCCGAACCACCAAACCTGGCAATCTGCAGTGGTAAGAAAAAGAAAAGACACTGCTGTACGAGATGACTATCGGATTGTTGTTCCTCGTACGGCAAGTTAATCAGTTACGCAAACGACGAATCGAACACAAGATTACTTCTACTTTCGAGTTGCCATTCGATATACTGCTGGACACGTTTGAACTACCGAATACGGTGGGTCTTAGTGGCCGGCGGAAACGTGCACAGAGCCATGCCACGGAATCATTCGAAAACTTATATGGACGACTAAACCAATCCGACGTTTACAGGTGAACCCAGCACTCCATTCGTACGAGTTTGGAGAAAGTGTTTTCAAAGGGGTAGATAGTACATCAGGCGATCCGGTGCCTGAAAACTACAAGGTCGTCCCACACACCTGACCGTGAACTTCACTCTCACCCAATGGTCTACTGTGATTCATATGCATCAGGCCGCCGCCTGTCTGACACACACCTTAACCTATATTGTCGGTTGCCTTGCCTGCTTCATGTGACTTTTGATCTGATCAATATACTGTCCGGTGCGGTGGAAGTCTTTGTTCTGACGGCTCAACGCCCCATTAACCGCAATTATAACAGTATGCCAGGTCACTGTTTACCTAGAAAGGTGTAGTTTAGTTTGCCAGATATAGGGTGGCGCAAGGCTGTAGGTGGACAAACGTTGACTTGACAGCGGGAAATGAAGTCAATGAAGACCAAACTCGGTGCCGTCCGTCCGTCTCGTCTTCCGCGCTGGAGTCCATGTGATTGGCCTTGTGTCTGGCTCCAGACTTTACAGAACATGGTTTGCAGTCGATACCAGTGGCGCGTCTGCTGCAGTCTCCAAGTCAATGGGCTTGTTTAGTGTGTTTTGTGCTAAAGTATCTGCGGGTAATGATCAATCATGACGCAAAACAGTGAAAGCCGCAAGGAAGTCGTGTCGCTGATGCCGGCTTATCTTTACATGATACCCAGCTGATTGTGACGGTATGTTGTTAACACAAGGTGCAGGCGTCTTAAACGTGGATGTTTGCTTAGGGCATAAGGTTTACACGTAAGTCCCCCTTCTCCCCCTCTTATTATTCTTTATTCCCTAGATCACCATGATTGTATGGCAGCGAAGCATCAGTTCAAATGGCTGATGTACTGCTGTTGTTGTTGATGATGCATACTTCGCAAGCACCGGTGGTCAAATACGGCCAAGCGTTTAATGTCTTCACTGCGAACGGTCCATATCTCCGATCCATACAGTAATACTGGCCGCGTTATGCACACTAACTGTCACTGACAAGCTGATATCCCGCCGTCTCCATAGATTGTTGAGCGTATGGAAAGCCACACGGACTTTGCTGATGCGCGAAGTAACTTCCAGAGGAGACACAGCTACCAAGGTAAGTGAATCGATCCACCTCTTAAGGTGGCTGTTCGGAAATAACTAATACCGGAGATGTGTTGGCCCGGTCCTGTAAACAGCACTTGGCAACCTGAAGGTGCAAAGTATATGCCGAAGCGTGCAGCACTACGGGCAAGTCTGTGCAACAGTGTTTGCATAGCCAATACATCAGACCCAAGGAGAACTATATCGTCCGTATACTCCAGATTTGCAAATCGGTCGTTTGGCAGAACTTCCACTCCAAAATAGTTTGGAAGAACCAATTCATTCAGGATCATTTCGATAGCAAAGTTGAGGAGGAAAGATATGAGACAACCCTGACGTATTTCACTTGTCCGTTTCCCGTAGACACTTACACGGCCTCGGGAATCACTTCAGAATAGAAAGGAGTTTAGCTGGTACGCCCTTAATGGAAGGGCAGTACCACAAGCTGTCTCGATCATCAGGGTCGAAAGCAGTTTTCAAATCAAGAAAAACCAACATAATCTGCTCTAAGACCTGGCAAAGAGTAAATATGTGGTAGACGCAAACACGGCCAGGACGGAAGCCAGCGTGGCTTTTAGTGATTCGGTCTTCACGTAGACCAGTAAGTCGTCGAAGAATGAGGCGATGGAAATAAGGCCAACGCCTCGATGATTTTCGCACACAGTATGCTGACCCCTCTTGAAGATGGGCACGACAGTTGACAGTCTGAAGGCACCTCTTCAGTGTCCCAAATGGTGTTGATAAGAGAAGCAAGTCCAATCAACAAAGTCGATATCTTTCAGTAAAGATGGAAGAAGGTCGTCAGGTCCAGGAACCTTGTTTCGTAGCAACACGGAAAGCTCATATCAAATCTCTTCCAAAGTGGGAGGTGTGACATCAGCTTCACACGTAGATTCATGTGATTCGGCAAGCGACAGTGTCGCAGCAGGCCTGCTGAACTGCCAATCAAAATGCTCCGCCCAACGAGCTAATCGACGACGCTGTGAATATATCGACAGCTCATCTTGCGCAGCTATTGTCTCGCTAACTGATAGCTTTCTCGGATAAGCTAGAATAGCATTCGGTTGTTTCCAATAGCGCTGGCTCTTTACATCTCATGAGCTTTTGCAACCCACCAACGTTCCCGGTGGATTCGAAGACTTCTTGTCAGATGTCGGTTCAGGGAGTTACAGATACGCTGAAACTCAATGGCCATCGGAATCCGTTTACGCGATTTGATCACTGATCGATGCTTCAGAGACCAATTCACAGTTACGACGTCTCAAGTCTAGTTCACAGCAAGCGTCAAAGGCAATCTGCATGGCACCCTTGAGACGATCCCAGTTAGTGTTCGGCTCACCAACTTCATTCATCACTGACAACTAGTGGGCCAGTATGTTATGATATTGTTGAACCACAGACTGAGTTTAAGTGACAGGTAAGAAGAGCAGAAGATAGGAGCCTCTTTTAAGTGGGAATAGTGTGTTCCAGGCGTAGGCGCACTATGACATGGTCAGAATCCATACATGTGCTCTAAATTGACCTATAGTCACAGTCTCAAAAACACTAACAGGTGTTGCCCATAAATCGAATTGGCATCTGATTTTAGTAGCGTGTGAATTAGTGCTTGTAAATAAACTGGTATCGGGTCCATGTTCGTAAGGTGTCCTGAAAGCTTGCCGCTACAGAGCAGCTGAACACCAGTACTATGTACCAGCATACACTGCCGGTAGAGTAATTATATGAATGACGTTCAAAACTCGTCGGTTGGGAGAGTGACCTGTATTCAAACATGTACTTGTGTTAAATAATATGCCCAGCCAGTAATAATGTATCCGGGTTGAAAAATCAGAAAACAGCTATGACTATGGGCTAGAAGCCAGTCTCTCATTGCAGAGTAAGTCAAATCGCAAACACCACAGCAGTGTGGCTTAAATAATTGTCGAAGTATACGTACATATATACAGCTGCAAGAATGAAAGGTTGCAGTCCTATGGATAAGGGCGTTTTCTAGAATCTCTGAACTTTCGACGGCGTTCCGCCAAGACAGCAGCCAACTCGGGATTGAAGGCTGAGTTGAAGGGTAACTCCCGCTCATCAGTAGTGGTCTGCTCAGATTCGCACGGATCACGAAGCGCGTCGGTCAAGCCCATTGCTTCGGCCATTACCAAGGCAGCACGTTCTCGCTCTTTACGCTCCCTTTGGAGCCGTTCAGCTCGGAGGGCGTCTAGACGTTGTTGTTTGGAAATGTTTGCCACCTCGGATACAACGCAACTCGATCCAGCGACAACAGTGTTACCTGGCACTAAACAGCCTGGCAGCATATCCGGCTCTTCGTCCTTGTTACCCTCATCAGAGCTTGCATGCTTGTGCTTCTTTCTTTTTTTGTTCTTGCACTGCTTTAAGGACTGTTTAAACAGGCTGAGAGATTCCAATAATGATGCCTGAAGTAAGGGATCAAAAAAGAAAAGACGACAAGAGGCAAGCGGGGCGGAGGCATTCAGATAAATGTCACAACTTGGCAAATCACAACTACTACTTTACGAACTACCGGGCAGCGCAGAACAAATGCTGGAAACAAACCCTGGACCTAAGCACTCAAACTAAGCGATAAGGGACGTTCACACGGAATGAGTAAAGGCTGTATTTTTCAGGTTACCACGAGAATGAATATTCCGTCTGTTTACATCAACTTATGCAGCAGATGCGGGGGAACTAAGTAGCTGGGTAGTTTCTAAAAACTGGTGATGAACTGCTGTAAAGACGCCTATATTGGTGTGTAACGCTTATTCTGGTTTGGCTTTGGCGAATAAACGAGTGTAGAAAATACTAATGGAAAAAAACGACGACTGAGAAATTCTAACCGGTAATTTGGATTTAGGACTGATCCTCTTAGAAACGGACGTCGATATGGAAAGCGAAGAAGTGTGGAAACGAACACCGTATGAAGTCATCAGTGCTTACAGCTAAATAGACAAAACTTGATGGCCAAATTATGCCTCCTCAATACTGACAGATCTAGTATGTGATCCAACAGCAAACCAGGGTGATTGTTTGATAGACAGACGTAAACGCGGGATGCCCCTAGCTCTTAAAGCAGAGTCCAAAAAAAAACACAACGGTCGGACGATGGAATCTGATGATTACAAAGAGTCTTCTGTACAGCAAATGTAAACTAACCGTCCTTTTCGTGGAAGTTTTTGGTACTGCGATATCATTCGGAAATAGCGAAGGCATAGCAGTTATGCAAGAGTTCGCACGTCGCAGGCGTTGATTCTCTTCTCTCGCCTTTTCTTCGCGTCTTTTCTCAAACCATTCGGAAATTTTATTCATCTCAAACAGTGGGTCGGCACGAGACTTCTTTTTAGCTTCCCATTCCTCTCTCGCTCTGGTCATTGAGAAGTACAGTCATTTTAATGTCACGTCACGTACTTGTTTTTTTCCTGTTCAGAAGTACTCTGTCGTTTGGGATGCACATCATACCATGGTCTTTGACCGCTCGACTCGAGCACACTCTGACCGAGATAAGTCAACAACCCTATAGATTTCTCCTGTGCCTCTTTCTCCGCTCGCTTCTCCGCTTCATATTCTTTGTTACCTTCAAGTAATTCAACCTTGGTCAATGCGATTCATCTACGCTGATCCGTTAACTTACGCTACGTTCGGATAAAAGAGGAGCACGAAAAGTTTCAATCGCTGTGGTAGACCCTCCGAGAGCAATTTGCTTACGCAGCAATTCCGTTCTAGATTCTTGCTCCTACAAAAAACGCGTAAGACGACCGCAATCCTTACGGCAAGCTGGGCTCGATATTTGATTTGCCGTTGCTCCTCATCATATTTAGCCTCGTCCTGTTTCACACGGGCTATATTCTCTTTCGTTCGCACATGCCATCTGAGTTGGATAAAGGTCGCGAGGGATGCTTCAGCGAAATAGAACCAAGTCACCTTTTCTTCGGTAATATGTTCATTCTTGAAGGGATGCAGCTGGTGAAAAGATCGAGTTCAGATCCAAATTGGTTGCGAAATACGCTGAAAAAGTGAGGGAAAGTTAATAACACTGAGCTGAATTGGCTCAGTCAGGATAATGATGTTTAGAAATAAAAGCTAGAAGCTATTCTCCATGTCTGTAGCATGCGTAGAAGTTTGAAATGACAAATCTTGAGGTCCACTGGCCAGAAAACGGCCACCGCAAAATGACAACCTTAACGTGACGTGATGGTTTATGTCTCCTCGATTCACTGAGTTACGCTGCGAAGAATTTTACAAGTGTCTTCAGAGCCACTCATACTAGATAGATCAATGGTTAGAGGTGAGACCAACTCAGTAGCACAATACTCCTCGAACGTTATCATCATCATCATTATACACGTTAGTCAGAGGTGGGAAGCACCTCAGATACTGTGCCGAAATACATAAAAGAAAAAGGGGAAATGCAACAGATGCGAGCCAACTGAACTACCGGTAACGAATGGGCATCCTTCCGATAAGCTATCAGTCGGCTACTATGCAGCAAAAAGAAATTTACTATACAAAATTATATAAGACTAAGTAGTGAGACCGTGGTTGGAAGGGGAGGCTAAGAGGGATGGGGTGGGACAAAGAAACACAGCACGAACGCCACTGAGGTCGGCTCCTAGCCATGTCAGCAAGTGTATCCAGCCAAACGTGTTCATCGTCTTTCAGACCCCAACCAGGGAGCCGAGACGCTCCAACGGAGGCCAGCTTTCAAGTGAGGGCCTTCATTCCTATCGACCAAGTCATCGCTTGGCCACCTATCCTCTTCTTCCATCCACACCCTCGGCGCGCAAACAACGCACGTCGCGGGAGCCGGTGAGCTGGCATGCGTAACACGTAACCGAACCATCGGAGCCTGGTGCGTGAAATAACGGTGCTGAGCGATTCATTCCCTTTTCCTCTGCCGTAAACAAGACGTCGAACCTGCTCGTTGCTCACTCGGTGTTCCCACCAGATGTGAACCAAATTGCGAAGGTACCGGTGGTCAAACGTAACTAGCCTTTTTATGTCCGCTGCTCTAAGCGGCCAGGTTTCATAACCGTACAGTAGGGTCGAACGTACCGCTGCATTGTACACCCTACCCTTCAGGGCGACAGTGATCTCGCGCCGACGCCATAGGTGGCGAAGATTAGCAAACGTGCCTCGAGCTTTTGATATACGGTTCGTGATCTCATCTTTAATGACACAGGCGCTGATAGAACTTCTCAGGTAGTTGAATTTTTGAACGACTTATAGCTGATCCCCACCAAGGGTCAGCGTAGGAGGCGCTCCAGACCAACCTTTAAGGAACGCTTTGCGCTTCGAGGGTGTGAGCAAAACTCGAAGTGACGGATAGTCGGTTCTAATCTGTCCAGTGCAGCTTGGCAGATTTGTGAGCTGTTACAGATTAGGGCAATATCATCAGCATACTCCAAGTCAAGTTGTTCTCCTGGGAGCAAATCCACGCCTGCTAAGTCGTGTCCTGTGAACGCGATTCCCATGACTTCATCAACAACGAAGTTGAAGAGGAAAGGTGATAGCGGGCATCCTTGTTTCACCCCGCTGGAGATACTAAAAGGCGACGACAGCTGGCCGTAAGCCATCACTCTGCCCGAGATACGCGTGTATAATGCTCGGATTATATTTACGCATTTCTCGGGTACACCATTCCTGACTAGGCAGTCAAAAATGGCAGGTCTATCCACCGAATCGAATGCACCTTTGATATCGAGGAACACGACAACGGTAGGCCGCCAATATATGTGACGGTGCTCCAACAACTGAAGCAAAGTGAAGATGTGATCAATGGAGCCACGACCTCGACGAAACCCGGCTTGCTCTTCACGAATCTGGCTATCACGAGCGCCAGTCAGTCTGTGAAGGATAGCAGAGGCAAGCAATTTGGAGACGATGGAGATCAGACTGCTTTCTCTATGGTTGCCGCATTCCGATCGTGAGCCTCCCTTGAAAATTGGGGCTATGACGGAGCAGCTCCAGTCGATTAAGACAGTTCCCTGCTCCCACAGTTTCACTAGTAGCTCGTGTAAATCATCCACAAGAGCAGGTCCCCTGAAATTGAAGAGGACTCAATGAGGATCAACTGGTTCCGCAGCTCTGTTCAACTTCAACAGTCCGATCTCACGTTCGACTGATGAGCGAGAGGGCGGAACTAAAGTGACAACCCACGGAGCAGAGCGATCAGTGGTCGGAAAGAAATCTGACAATACCGACCGATTATATTGACTTTAAAAGTACTCAGTCCAACGCTCCAAGCGTTTTGACAAGTTGTGGATAGGCTGTCCACTTTTGTCACGTATAGTTTCACTACTACCAGAGCTTCTGCTGCTCGTTTCCCGTATCAGCCGGAATAACATCCGATGGTTACCAAGGGCAGCGGACATTTCCATCTCTGATGCACGATGAGACTACCAGGATTCGCGGTCTCTCTTCAGGCTAGCACGGAGTTTGCTGAGGATCTCATTGTGTTTGTTTCTAGCCGGAATGCGCCGGCGAGCATCGATAAGCTCCAGAGACCGCGAAGTCATCATCATCATCATCATTACACGTTAGCTGGAGGTGGAAAACACCTCAGCTATTGTGCCGCAATACAAAAGATAAGAAAAGGAAAACAAACGGTGGCACGCCCGCTGAGTCCCCAGTAACGGATGAACATCATTCCGGAGAGCCAACAGCTGGCTGCCGTAAAAGAGTCATATTATACCTATCAGGTGAGATCATGATTGGAGGGGGATGCTAAGCAGGAGGGGGATGGACAAAGAAACTCACAACACAAACGCCATTGTGACCGGCTCCAAGCCATATCAACAAGTGTGTCCAACCAAACGTGTTCACCATCCTTAGGACCCCAGCCAGGCAATCGGGATGCACCAACCGACGCCAACTTCGAAGTGAGGGTTTTCATTCCTCTCGACCAAGTCATCACTTGGCCTCCCCTCCTCCTCTTCCAACCGCACCCACAACGCGCAAACAATGCACGTCGCGGGAGTCGGTGTGCTGGCATGCGCAACACGTGGCCCAGCCATCGGAGCCTGGTGCGTGATATAATGGTGCTGAGCGGTTCACTCGCTCTTCCTGCACCAAATACGCGACGTCGAACACGCTCATTGCTCACGCGGTGCTTCCACCAGACATGAGCTAAGCTGCGAAGGCAGCGATGATCGAATATGACGAGCCTATTTATGTCTGTCGACCTGATGGGCCAGGTTTCACAGCTATATAAGAGAGTTGAACGGACGGCTGCGTTGTAAACTCTGCCCTTCAGGGCGAGAGTAATGTCGCGTCTGCGCCATAGGTGGCGGAGATTGGCAAAAGCACCTCGGGTTTTTGCTATACGGTTCGTAACCTCATCTTCAATCCCACGGGTGCTAATATAGCTGCCCAGGTACTTGAATTCCTGAACGACTTCTAGCAGATCACCACCAAGCGTTAGCGCAGGGTTGGGTCCCTGCCAATCTTGGAGAAAGAGACCGCGAAGAGACCCAATGCTTGCGGCACAGTAGCTGAGGTGTTTCCCACCTCTAGCTGACGTGTATAATGATGATGATGAACGATGAGGATTTGCTTGCTGCTAGTAAAGTCCGCTGAACATGAGACCAGTGGCCTTCAATTGCATCCAGTGAGCGCCTACCCAACTCGAATGTCAGCGTAATTTGATAAGCATTCAGAACAGCTGCCTTCGTCAGTTGGATGGTGTTAATGCGTTCACAGCGTCGTCGTGGGTGTCCACCAAAGCGCATCTGCAGGGCACCACATACAAGTGCATGATCGGTGTCCGCACCTGTGTTCCAAATCGAGCGAAAATGCTGGACGCAGCCTCACCAGTGGCAACTTATCACAATGTGATCGATTTGCATCCATAGCTGGTTCGAGTCTGCTGGGCGCCAAGTCACCTTCCGGCGGATGCTGTGTCGAAAAGTAGTGCTCGCAAGAAATAAGCGAGCATCCTCCCACAAATGAAGTAACCGCGCAACGGGATCATTACGGGAGCCTACACCATGTTAGCCGCCCAGATGCAGTTCATCAGTAGATAATTTTCCAACTTGTGCGTTCAGATGCCCAGCCAGCACGACAGTGTCCGAGCTCCTTCTGTGGCGGAGCACGTTCAGTTAGCGGTAAAAGTCGTCTTTTACCTAATCATCGCTAGTTTGTGGGTGCATAGATAGCGATGACGAATAAACGTCTATTAGTCCAGCGCGACTTCGAAGCTTTGAAAGAGCCAGCCAATGGGACCGCACACATCACGCTACTGGTTGGGATCCAATCAATCAGAGCAGCTTCAGCCCGGACACTCAGGGCAATACCAACACCGGATAGGCCAAGTACTCGAAGCTGCATCGTCACCGGATAGACGCAATGAGAAAGTGCTGCTGGTGTCACCTGAAGGGGATCGCAGAGTGAGCACTGAGCTCAAGTCTTGCAGGCGGATCTCCGATAAGCAGCAGATATCGATCGAGAGGGTCTCCAATGTTCGGGCAAGTGCTGCCTGTTGACCGATCTGTAGCAATGTGCATACATTGAGGCATGCCAATCTGAAGGAGGAGCGAGGGCTCCAAATGGAAACCGATGAACTAGACTTGACCGTTTGCTTGGACATGGGCCTGTCGACAGGACAGGAATGACGCTCCGCGTTCACATGTGAGTTGAAACTACAAGATAAAAGCAGATTAAAACAAGGTGGGAGAGGGCCAAGAATTGGGGGGTTGGGAACAGGGGGAATTAAGGCGAAGCTGGAATGGGACGATAAGGGTGAAAAGCGCAAGAGGGAATAAAAAGTTGGGAAGGTTTGAGCAGTAGCATCAACACCCCCTATCCACCCTGCTCGATGCAGCAGATAGGGCACCGTTGCTTTTTTCTCTGCGGCGGCTAGAGCATCAGGAAACTGTTTGACGAAAGATTCATAGTATTTCGTGGACAGGATACTGTCAGGTTACCCAGGCCTAGACAGGTGATTGAATTAGGGTTCTCAACCAAAGACTTTGTTTCAAAAACCTAACCGCAAAGCAGTGAGTTTGGTGTTG